GACCAGCACATGGCCATTGCCTGGGTGAAGAGGAACATCAAGGCCTTTGGAGGTGACCCAGACAACATCACCATCTTTGGGGAGTCGGCCGGTGCCGTCAGTGTCTCCCTGCAGGTGAATTATCCTTGTTGGTTCTGATCAGAGCCAGTTCTCTGTCAGTGGGAGAGAGAGGCTGCTTGGCACTCCTCTGCTTCCCTCCCCACTGCTGCCTCCTTGACATCCTGCCCTAGTCAGGACAGCAATGCTCAGCCTCAGTGCTTTGGAGATGCTCCTTCTTCAGCTCCATCAGCCCCACCACTGCAGCCCCATGTCCTCAATCTTGGGACCCATGAGGCAACCTGTGAGCCTTTACTTGTCATGTCCCCCTCTTCTCAGCATCTCACCTTTGAACTTTAACTCCTGAGATTGTTGCACATCTCGAGACCCAGCAGCTTCCCCAGGCTGGGTRGACAAGCTGCAAGATGGTCAGTGGGGTCTGACAGAAGACACTCTCCTCAGGATTTTGTACCCAAAATCCTTTTGTTTCCATTCTGCCCCCCCAGACGCTGTCCCCGAAGAACAAGGGTCTGTTCAAGAGAGCCATCAGCCAGAGTGGCGTGGGGGTCTGCAGCTGGGCCATCCAGAGGGACCCGCTCGCCTGGGCTAAGAAGGTAAYGTGTCTGAAAAACTATGAAAASAAAAACAGCAGTACCCTAGAGGWGRGCAYAGCTAGGAAGGGATTGGGCAGGAGCTGTGCCCCACAGAGCTGTACAAAGATGCTGCTTTGAGACTAAAACCAACCCCCACCTTTGACTCAATAACAACCCCTGGCTTTGGGAGGTAGCATTAGGAGGTTTCTYTCTCTCTTATCCTGCAGATTGGAGAAAAGCTGGGCTGCCCCACAGACAACACCTCCGTCTTGGCCGACTGCCTTCGTGTCTCTGACCCCAAAGCCCTGACCCTGGCCTACCATCTGCAGCTGGTCAACCTGCCCAGTAAGTCCCCTGGTTTGTGCCCTGGTTCATCACCCACCCTAGGCTCCCCAAACCTSTGGCAGGACCCTGGGCTGATTACCAGGAGTGTTGAAGCAGTGTTTGTGCCCTCAGAAAAGGGACAGTAATTACAGCTCTTGCAGTCAGCATTCCATAGGCAGATGCACATTGCACTGGATGAACACTGCCCACCTCAGCCTGTTCTTGGCATGTGCCAGGCCCCTCATCTGTCTGTCCTCACCTCCTAACAGACTCTGCTCTTGTCTCCTGCTGCAGTGCCCCTGGTGCACACCCTGGCCCTCACTCCTGTCATCGATGGGGATTTCCTCCCAGACATGCCAGAGAATCTCTTTGCCAACGCTGCCGACATCGATTACTTGGCCGGGGTCAATGACATGGATGGGCACATCTTTGCTGGTGTGGATTTACCCGCCATCAACCGCCCGCTGGTCAAAATCTCTGCGTGAGTGACCGAGGCACTTGGAACCCTCAACAGGAGGAATCTGCTCCTTAATGCAGCTCCCAAATTGCCAAGGAGTTAGATTAGAGTGGACAGAGCATGGCCTTCAAAAAAAAAAAAAGGGATTTCACTCCCTGAGTGCCCATGCCTGGTGTTGCCAGGTCCAGAGCCTTCAAGAGAAAGGACCTGCCCTACCTGAAGCTTCTGGTCAGTTATTAATTAATATCACTTGTCATTTCAGGAACCAGGTCTATGATTTGATCAAAGGCCTCACTGTGGACAGGGGTGAGGCTGGAGCCAATGCTACCTACAACATCTACACCCAGACCTGGGATGACAAACCAAAGCAGGAGGTCATGAAGAAGACAGTGGTGGAGCTGATCACTGACTACATCTTCCTGATTCCCACACAGTGGGCACTGAACCTGCACCTGCAGAATGCCCGGTGAGCAGCTCAGCCTTGGCAGGATCCCAAAGCTGACTTGGGGGACTGAGGAGTGGGTTYAGAGGGCTCTGCTGTCCCCTCACAGCTGCTTATCCARTCTRTTTTATTTCCCAGGAGTGGCAAGACSTACAGCTACCTGTTCTCCCAGCCATCCCGCATGCCCGTGTACCCCAGCTGGGTGGGGGCAGACCACGCTGATGACCTGCAGTACGTGTTTGGGAAGCCCTTTGCCACCCCCCTGGGCTACCTGCCCAAGCACAGGACWGTCTCAAAGGCCATGATTGCTTACTGGACCAATTTTGCCAGGACTGGGTGAGTGATTCTCATTCCATATTTGGGGCTTGATGCAGCACTTCAGGCTACTGCTTTTCCCCTACCAACCACCCTCAAATTTTGGATCACTCCCAAAAGAAGGGTGTTCYCTGTCTGTCTTTGTGTTGTGAGCAGGCCTCTGTGTCTCCCAGTGCTGTTGTTTGTTCTGGGTTCTCCTAATCCTGGGGACAGGAGGAGCACTTTCAGGAGTTATGAATTCTGCATACACTGAGGTTTATTCCTGAATCCTGGTGTTCAGACTTAAGCCCCTGTGTGGAACCAAGGACGATTCCAGAGGGACTGAGGGAGGACACTGCAGGTCATCAACTCATTCCTGACAGGCAGAATTCCTATTGCCTGTCCCACTGTCAGGCTCTCTTTGCTCTCACTTAAAGTCTTTTTTTAGCAGACAGGATTCCTGCCAAAAACCTCAAAACCGAGTTTCTGTGTCTCCTCTTTCCCCAGTGATCCCAACAAAGGCCATTCGGATGTGCCYGTTTCCTGGCCAGCCTACACCAACAAKGCCAAGTACTACCTGGACATCAACAACAAGATGAACAAGAATTCTGTGAAGCAGGACCTGAGATCCCGATTTGTGAACTTCTGGAACTCGGTCTATCGGCAGCTGCCGCAGGTTGCCAACATCTCCCAGTCGGAGTTATTCTTCTGAACCTGAGAAAATCCATCTTTTAGAGATCATTAAAGGCTTGCTTGTAACTGAGTGTCTGTGTGTTTGACGTGACAGGATTCTCTCGCTAATGTCAAGGTCAGGCAGGATGGAACATTCTGTGGGCACTGTGTTCCCAGGCCTGTGACACTCAGTCCTGGACAAGCTGTCCTTGCAGAAAATTATATTATCACCCTCACCTTCACATCCTTCATCTGCCACCTTTTGCAGCATCAAACGTTGCTGGCGTGAAGGCTGAAGTCCTCGGGAAGGAAATTTATTTTAAAGTCACTTTTCACCAGATTCCTTCCATGATCAGAGAAACGGGCGGGTGCACGTGAGGCTTTGCTCAGCTCAGGGCTGTTTCCCTTCATTGTCCAAGCAGGACAGGGATAAAATAACACACAGGGCAGGTGATAGTGCATGTGTTTATGGCCACAAGCGGCGGGCAGCCCCAGCTCGGAGCAGCCAGGCCGCCCTCAGGCCGCCCTCAGACCGCGCTTTCCCCACACGGCGGGCCCGGAACCTTGGAGCGGCGGAACCTTGGAGCGGCGGGGCGGGCCCGGGCGGGAGGGACCGGCGGACAGGCATGGCGGCGGCGCGGCAGCGGGGCCTGAGGGGCTCGGCCGTGCTGGAGCTGCCCCGATCCCCGCGCTTGGTGTGCGTGGAGTACCCGGGGCTCGTCCGGGATGTCGGGGCCGTGCTGCGGACGCTGGGAGGAGAGCAGGGCGTGTCGCGGGTGAGGTGGCCCCGGTAGGGTTCGGTGTGGGGCGGTGAGGGGCCGGGAGCAGGGACCCCCTGTGTGAGTCGTTCCAACCCAGGGTGTCCCCACAGAGGGTCTGCGGTGGTTTTGGGGTGATGCCGCTTCCCTTCTGTCCCCAAGGGGGGATTCGGGATCACAGAATCATAGAATGGTTTGGGTTGGAAGGGCCCATAAAGGTTCTCTTGTTCCAACCTCTTGCCATGCTCAGGGGTGCCTTCCATTGTCCCAGGTTGCTCCAAACCCTRTTTAACCTGTCCTTGGACACATCCAGGGGTGGGGCCCAGCTTCTCTGGACAACCTGTGCCAGTGCCTCACCACCCTCACAGGGAAGAAATCCTACCTTATGTCCAGGATATTATGTTTCTCATTTATTTATTTCTTCCTAATACTCGGGATGGGAGTGGCTGCACACCCCTGTACTGTTGGTGGGACAGGATGGATCCCCCTGGGGCTGTGTGAGGGGAGCAGCCCGTGCCCGTGGCAGCGTGTGAAGGCAGAGGCTGGCCCAGGAGGGGTGGGTGGGATGCTGATGGGCTGTGCCTGYCCTTGCTGACAGATCTACGCTGACCCTGCCAAAAGGCTGGAGCTGTATTTCCGCCCCAAGGACCCCTATTGCCACCCCGTGTGTGCCAACCGCTTCCCCACCTCCACCATGCTGCTCAGGGTGAGGAGGAGGACCAAGAAGAAGCAGCAGTTGGACACTGAAGARCAAATCCAGCCAGAAGTCCAGTTTGAAATGGAGATTCTTGGGATTGTCACCACTGTTTACAAATTTCAAGGTAACCCTGGGGTTTGTGTCCACGTGGCTTAGGGATGAGTGTGTTTGATGTTTGAAGTGTTTCCTCTTAAACATTTGAGGAGTGGAAAAAAAATCAAGTGACCTGTTGTAACACCCTCCTTGCTGTATAAATCTTTGCATAAAATTATGAGATTCCTGCTCCTRAAAGCTGAGTGAAAAATGTTGAATTCACAGTAAAATTCACAATGCTTTAACTTCTGTTTCTTACAGGAATGTCTGATTTCCAATACCTGGCAATGCATTCTAGTCCTGATGGCAAACAAATCTCCATGTATGACAAAGTCCTGATGCTCAAACCAGAGAAGGAAGAGTTTTTCAATAAGGAATTACCTCTTTACATCCCACCACCCATTTTCTCACGTCTGGACACTCCTGTTGATTATTTTTATCGCCCAGATATACAGCACAGGTCAGTGCCTGTGCTCATAATATATCACTCATGTCTTTCATCCACTTAAGCTGCTGCTTTGTTCTGTTTTATCCCTCTTAATATGGCACAACAGAGGCAAAAAAAACCCAAATAATCTAGAAACTGCTTGGCAATTGCAAGTCCATCAAAATTCCACTTGAGGGAAGGGGTGCTGGGGATGTGGTGAAGATGGTGCCTCTCCCAGTTCACCTCACACAGCGTGGGATGCAGGGAGGCAAATCCTGCTGCTTCCAGGGGGCTGGAGCCAAGGGCAGGACTTGCAGCAATCGGTGCCATGTGTTCCTGTGCCCTCCTGGCCCCAACTGGCTTTGCCAGAAGAACAGTCTGGGAGATCTCCCACAAGAAACATCTTTCATTTTCTCACCATTGGCCTTCACTGCCACTTTTGAAAGGAAATTTCCAGATTGAGTTGGCACCTGCAGTTCCCTCTTGCTTTGCCCCTGTCCCACTGAGCAGCTGCAGCAGCTCCAGGAGAGCAAATGCAGAGGGTGAARCCTTTAGTGCTCCAACACATTTCATCCAGATCAGCCCCAAGTGCTGGAGGGTTTTGTGCCAGCCAGGGCAGATCTCCTCTGTCAGTGTGCAACTGCATGTAGCTTTGAGAAGGAGGGTTTAGGTTTACTTCTAAATTTTAATTTTCATTCCTCAGTGGTGCCATGAGAGTCTTTCATGGTACCAGAATGTGATCTAGGGAAGTTGGGCCGAAGTTTGCCCAGCCCACCGCTCACCCAGCTGAGTCCCTGTTGTCTCTCCCTGTTCCTTAGGGAGGGATACAACAACCCCCAGGTGTCTGGTGAGAACCTGATCGGCCTCAGCAGGGCCCGGCGCCCACACAATGCCATCTTTGTGAACTTTGATGATGAGGAAATCCCAACTAAACCATTGGATGCTGCTGTACAGAACTGGAAGAAAGTRTGCACCAATCCTGTGGATAARAAGGTGGAGGAAGAGCTGAGAAAGGTGTGTGCCTCACTCCTGACCTGAGCACTGTCCTGCAGCAARCTGGGGAGGAAAAAGTGCATTTTTCCCCAGAAAATCTTGGTGATTGTGATTGATACAAGTGTGAGTAGAAGCCACTGACACTGCTGTGTKCAGTTCAATTCTGCAAGTCAAGGTTTGAATCTCTGGCCAACTCACATTGAGCCCCTTTTTGTGTCACGAGTTCTTACATTAACAGAGGCCCCAATACAGAACTATGTTCACTTGGAAAACTGATCTGCCTTTGGTAACCCCCTTCCCACTGTTTGAGGTTTTTTCTGTGCTATTTTAGCTCTTCGAAGTCCGCCCTGTGTGGTCTCGGAATGCAGTGAAAGCCAACATCAGTGTCCATCCAGACAAGCTGAAGCTGCTGCTGCCATATTTGGCCTATTACATGGTGAGTGCTACATCTGTGAGCAAAGGGAGCATCACCTGGCTATTCCTGGTCCTTTACCACATCTGAGATCCTACCACTAAATACCTGAGCTTAATTTTATGTAGAGAGAGAGGGAAGGAAATACTTTGGAATCAAAGTTGAAGCCAAGGAGGATTCAGTCACTGTTTGCTCTGTAGGTTCTAATCACCTTTGCAGGTCAATCAGACACTCCCAAATGACTGTTCACCTGGCAGTGGTAGAATTTTTCCACACAAACATTTGACTGTGACCTTGCAGGTTGGTTTGTAAAAGCAYACAAATATTTGTGCTTTGATGCTTTGATTGCCAAGTTTCAGTGTATAAATAATACCGTGGCAATTGAGCAAAGAGCTGGTAAAATAAATACCTTTGGGCAATGAGGAGAAATATTAGAACTTTCCAAGAGTCTGTAACCCTGTACTGAAGGAAAGTGCAACACTAGTGCTTTTTTTGTAACCATTTTCCCTCGTGTGTTTGTGCAGTTAACAGGTCCTTGGAGAAGCTTATGGGTTAGGTTTGGGTATGACCCCAGAAAACACCCTGAAGCAAAGATTTAYCAAGTGCTGGACTTCCGAATTCGCTGTGGAATGAAATATGGTAAAAGGGCCCAACCCACAGAGCTGCTCTGTCTGCTTTCTGGTTAATCCTGGTAGTACTTTTCTTTTTATGTGTTTTTCAAACTCTTGCCATATTTCTGCTCTGATGAACATGTCACCTTTTGTGCTTCTTGCTTACAGTAGTTCTTTCCAAACTCCTGTAATATTTCATTTCGTAGTATGCAATGTCTTTTCTCATTTGGCACATTCTAAACCCTAATTTTCCTCCTCCATGTGTTCCAAGCCCRAGTGGGTGTAGCAGAGCATCCTCCTCCTCTCTCAGGGGAGGCACCAGGCAGGAATTCTGCTCCTCAGTTAGCAGCTTTTCCTCAAGAACCTCAGCATTTTGTGCAGGATGCTGGGTCTCAGACCTTGGATGTAGAGATCTCTGCTCTGATTTTGCAGARGGCAWGTTGAGGAAAAGGAGTTAGTGATGCTRTCTAATAAATCAATGACAGAGCTGSCATCCACTCATTGACTTCAGGTCACATTTCCAAATTAAAGGGTTTTGTTAATCTCTTCTCCCCATCCTGTTAAAGTCAGTATATCCCAAAGACCAGCCTGCCTTTCTCACACCAGTCCAGCCCTTGTGCTCCTGAGCTGGGATATTCTGAGGATATTCTGCAGCTCATTACTGGTTTTTCATTTTCCCCTCCAGGTTATGCTGCTACTGACATGCCCGTGAAAGCCAAACGCAGCACGTACAACTACAGCCTGCCCATCACAGTCAAGAAACAAGGTATGCTGGGCCAGCTCAGGGCTGCCTGGCTCTTCTGCTTCTCTGTTTGCTCCATCTTAGTCACAGGTGGTGAAAGGTCTGTCCTAGCTGAGCCTAAACTGGAGCTTGCTTTCTGATAGAAAGCCTGCTGTTGAGGCAGTAGAAAAATTTTGTGCTGAGAAGTGTTGTGGGAGCCACAGTATCTGTTACCAGGCAGGAGGGAATTCTGCAGGCACCACTGGGAATTCAGAATTCACTCAGGTGCAGAGAATGGAGGAGCTCTCTTTTCTGTGTCAAAGGAGAGTAGAAAAGGTTAAAATTATGAACAAATGAAC